TGCTGTTCCTTGTTTGCGTATTCCCACGGAGTGAAATTTGAACCCACTGATCTCGCACAGCCTTAGCTGAGTTATGTCTGTCTTACTACAATTACTACAATTACCGTGACCTTTTTGTTCTGTGTCCTGCCAGTGAGTGGCTGTTGAGATTGTGGTGGTAGTTTCACCTGGAGAGAAGCCCAGCAGAGACTGGGCTTAGCTCAACAGGGCAGGCACCACAAGGTCAGCCTGAGTTGCGTGCATGCGCGTGAGTCTCACGCCTGCAGGTTCCGCTTCATTAGTCTGTCTGATTGATCCGTGCAGCAGCCCATGTTGATGACCTTGCTGTGCAGAAATAACGGACAGCTCTCCGAGGCCACATCTCTCTCCCTCTGTAAGGTTTTGCTCATTTGTAAGGACCAGGAACTGGAAATGTCACATTTTTATGGAGTCCACAGTTGCTCCACAAAATGCAGGGTCCAGAATGACCAAAAGCAGTGCTTTAGTAAGACTGTATTTCTGGAATTTAAAGGTGGTAGGGAGCATATCAATCCATTGATGATTTTAATCATTATTAATAAGTGCATGTGTGCCTGTTTTTTGTTTTTTTACAAGGACAACCTCAGATTTACAAAAATCTGTGAATGCAATCAAAAAAACTTAAAAAAGCCAAAAGGTTTCATATTTTGTTTGGTTACTTATGGCTAAGGTTAGGGCTGGGTTGTCATAGTTGGGATAGGGTTAAGCTCATAGAAATAAATAATAAATAGTAATAAATAATAATAGTCCCTATAAAGATATGAATATGTGGTCTTTGTGTGCATGTGTGTTGGGGGGTGGGGGGGGGGTGTACTTCTTAATTTGTGATTTGCAGTTTTATCGTTTCATTCTCTGAGTGGAGAATGTGAACCTAAGGACTGTTGGCTGAAGTCCAGGCTCACAACAGCTCTGGGCTGATGCCAGACCAGGGATGTAAAAGTACGGGCAGCAGTCACGCCTGAAAAGTCCTCAAAAGTAATACATGCCCTGAAAACATCCATTTTATAGCCTATTGAACAATTGTTTGGGGGGGGGGAGTTGTTGGTACACCATGCAACACTGTACTGCTCACTACTACTGTCACAGAAATGGCAATAACCCAAAACGAGTCAGTGTTTTTCCAGTCTGCTGCTCACTCGGCTCTCCCTCTGTGTGTTACCGATGGTAGGCATGACATTAAAATGACAATGGCCTAATTGTGTGCTGCCTCTATTTCCATTATAGCCTCTTGCTCGTGTATGTATGATATGGCAAAATAGCTTTCTAATTTAAATACTCCATGTTGCATAGTAGTTTCTGAAGCTGGCCTACGGACTGAGTCTGTATGATTGCAGGAATCCTGAGGCTTCAGGCCTCCTGAAGAACGAGTACATTTCTTTTTCTTTTTATGCTCTATTTTCACAAGCGATTAATACGGAAAATGGACAATTTTATGGTTTATTTTATTGCAAATTATGATTTTTACTATGCCCTTTCCTTTCATTATAGTAAACATGATTATACTGTTTACCACAGTGCTGCACTAAAGTCAGATTAACCCACCCCAACATCTGTCCGTTTACAGGAAGCAAAACTCAGCAGCCTTTCTGTGCCGCAGCAGGAATTATCTGTGACCAAGCAAAGCGGCCTGCGGGGTGGAGACTCTGGTTTTCTCCTCAGGAGCGTGCATGTGTATGCCGGCATTAAGTGGACATTTGCACTTAATGTGGGTGGAAGTTGAAGAACCACGGCATCCATCCTTCGCTTCCAAGGAGGATGGACCCTATTAGCTGGAGGAGTGGTCTGCAAGAGCAGGTTATACATTATAAATGATTTGATTTTTCACCATTGGGTGTGTCAGACCTTATGTCAGCCAGTGCTCCTAGAACCCCCTCCCCACCTCACACACATTTACACACAGCTTCTTTCATCTGAACCGTTATTCAGCACTTATCATTTTAAATATATCACTTTTTTTCTTTTTTTTACATTTTTCCCCTTCAGTGGCAGAGCTCTGTTATGCAGCAGGCTGATCAGACTGTTCAGTGATCGTTTCTGCTTCAGGCGCGTAACACACAGCAGAAAGTCTCAAACATGATTGTAATCGCAGACAGTGGCATCTGGAGATGCACAGAAAAGGTCAGGGGGGATGTGAGGGGGCCTCCTGTCTGGAAGGCGGTTAAGGAAAGTGCCCATTGTCGCAGGCATTTGCGAGAGAACGAGATGCCGGCCAAGACGGCATGCCGAACATTCTTCTTGAAGCTTGGACCCCTACTGTCGCTAAACGAATCTGAAGTCTGCACGAGCGCATCTGTGGCAACGCTGCGTGCAGCAGCTCGTCAGGAGAAATGCCGCATACGACGTGCTTGTGAGGTGGGAGCCTGCTCTGTCTGCTGCATCACGAGGCTGTCAGCGTGAAATCATCTCAGTGTTACCTTGGAAATGTTTTGCTTTTCTCCCTTCTTTTAAGAGACTTTTCTGCAGTAGGAATGTAAATAAATAAAAGTAAACATATTTTATTTGACTCTCAACAGTGTTCTCCTGGCCTAAAATGAATGGACAATTTGGATAGTCTGTCTGTGTGTATGGGAGTGTATTACGAAGACATTAGCATTACGCATTACTGTAGCATTACGCATTACTGTAGCATTACGCATTACTGTAGCATTACGCATTACTGTAGCATTACGCATTACTGTAGCATTATGCTTTTTATCTCTGTATGAAAGCCTGCTGACGTCTGTATCGCCTGTCCTAGCTGCCAGTCATACTTTTGTTGGCTTGTTTTAACATAAGCCCTGACATTAGAGGAAATCTCCTTCAATGGTGTGGTGCTGTCGGACCCAGTTAGGCCGCAGGCTTATCCTGCCTGCCCTGGTCTCTTGGAGCTCATTAGAGAGGCACTCCCCTCTTTGTCAGTGGTCGGGATATGATCATGCCATTTTAACTCCCCTGCAGTACTTGTGCATGCCAGTGCAATGACTGAAGCCTGTATCTGTCTCTTGGATCAGTCCTGTTCTTCTTGCATGCCTGCTGATGTTCCACATACTTGGTGAGGCGGGTGATGCACCTGCTACCGTGTCTGTTCCTTAATCCTACAAAATGCTAAATGCATATTACACCACCACCAAAGTCTGTTTTTTTTTTTCTTGTAAATCAGGTGTTATTACACTGATAACAGATAATAACATGTTTTGGCTAATGGAGAGATTGTATTATTACTTTTGTTTGAGTTTCTCTGATGTGGGATGCAGTCGCTTTAAAAGGTAGCATTGGTGATTTTTAAAACCTACTGTTGTGATGTGATGTTGCTCTATCTGTGCCGTTGAGGCACCAGCTGTCAAAGTTTTAATGGTGATCGGTCTGCTTCTCTGTAGGATCTCATCAAAAGATCTGCAAATTTATAACCCATAGTTTGCTTCATCCCTATCTCTTGAAGTCTGATGACCGTGCCCCCTTAATCATTCATAAATGATTATAAATGAATTCCTAAATAATGAAGCTGAACTAATGATTTGAGTGTAAACATGCTTGTCCATTTTCAGTTTAGTGTAAATCCACGGCATCTTGTGCATGCACAGTGCTCAGCCTTGTCATTAAACCTGGTGACAAAGGTTGCTGGTTTATGCCCCTTGGTAGCACTGAGTTGAGCCAATGACTGATTGCTGCAGTAAACCCATTCATTAAACCAGTGTCCTCTTGAGTAAGAGGCTTAGCCAAACTAACTGGTGGACATAGAGGCAAGCTGATTGGTATGACTACATAGCAGCTCGAGTCAATGACTGCTTTCTCATCCAGTTGAGGTAGCCCTCCCCTCTGTTTTATTGATGGAGAGATTATGGGAGGCCAGCCTTGATTTATGTCGGGTCTTTTGGACTCGCTTTGAAAAAGGCAGTGTGTCCCACACCCTGGAATGTGGAAGAAGATGAGCTCAGCCCTGTATGGAAAGTTACCCTCTCTGTAAAGTGACACATAACCGAATGTAAGACTAGGTTACTCAGGTCCTTGCGATGCTGCTGATTTGTCAAATATCGTTCGCTCTCTCTCTCGGCTCCTGTCATAAAAATCATTGAAGAACATATATGGGAGCAGTTTGCTTTATGAACGACTGGGAGAAAACTCAAGCGTGCGTATGCTGCCTCCGCTCTTTCCATTTTGTCTCGAGTGTCATGGGCGCTTATGTAGCTGTCAAAAGGCCATCCAATGTCAGATGTCGGCTGGTTTGACCGCATGACCTTGGTAATTACAGCCAGAGCCTCAGGTCTGCGTTTGATGGATCTAAACAGAGCCACAAACTTACAGAGCAAACAAACTGCACAGCATTTACAGACCTCCCCCCTCTTGCAGTCTGACGTCCCCGCTAGACTGATGCAATAAGCTGTCCTATCAAAGCTGACTGGTTTCTGATTTGAGATGAAGCCTGAAAGCCGGTAAAGTAAATGAATTTCATGCCCCGGCAACCTTGAAATCGCAGGGCCTGCGTAGGCAGCTGCACCATCTGAGCCCCTTACCAGGGGTTAAATGGCACCACCCCCCCAGCATCACGTTAAGCCAAACCAACTGCTTTTGAACACTAAAGTGACATGACACGTGCCTCGGTTGGTCTGAAATGCGTACTGCGAGCATAAGAGTGTGGTAGCAGATCTTCCTGATGGAATGTACTATTGACGGTTTGTGTTTCTTGTGGACGCTGAGTCCACGGAGTCCCATGACAGCATGCATACTTTTGGAATTGGAACCATTTTACCGGGTCAAGTGCTGAGCCGTGCAATAAAAGCCTCCTGTCTTGGCAATGGGATCGCCCCTGGTCTCACATGTCCACGCTTCCTAGCTGACGAACAACTAACATGTCTGTACCGCTGTCCATAACCTGCATCCTCAGCTATCTGGCGTCACAAATTGATTTTCTTTCCAACTCAGGATTGGTGGCCTGTGGGGTGACAAACTGCAGAAGCATGTGGCAGAGTGTGGTCATGTTACAGCAAGGTGGTGTTTTTGCCTCCATGTTTTCAGCAAACTGGTTCCAGACCAGCCTGGCATGACACACCCATATGGTGGCTGAAAGGTAGATGGGGACAAAAAATCACATGAGCTCATGGAAGGGACTGCTTTCCTGCCTCCTCCTGAATCCCCTGAAACTCATTGCCTCCCCATTCTCATGGCCTTGCATATCCTCACCATCACCTGGTGTGTTTGGAAGTTAATTTTCTCAAGTTTTTATTTCTTGCATTACTCATGGATGTGCACTACCAATTTGGGACATCACTGTGGAGAGCACTGACATCCTGGAAGGTGGGTATGCTGGTAGAACTGTCTCTGTTCCTTCACCTAATGCCGATTTAATAGGTGTTGAATGCGATGGCTTTATCTCCTCTAGGGTTGTGTGATCCTTATTTAGATACTGTCACATGGTGGCTGTCCTTGGTCGTGTATTGACCATCATCGATTGGACAGGCTGCTTAAGGGGTAAATGAGGTGCTGGGAAATATGTGTCGCAGACGCAGACCATCAGAATTGTATGTGTTTTTCCATGCTAGTTGCTCACTCGCAAATTAAATTGTCACTTTTGGAAGCAAATAATGAAACGTGTATGACTATTCAAAACTCTTTCCATTCTTATTAAGGTGAATTTAAGAAAAGGCACAGTATACTTAGAAGACAAGTTTTGAATAAAAGAGAGATGGGTGATTCATATTCCTTGTGTATTTGTTTGAATCTATGTTCTCCTGGCACTGCAAGATGTCAGTGTTGTTTATGGGCACTGTAATTAGACATCAACACAACTGAAAAAACTGTACAAGGCAGCTGAATGTGTGTGTTCGTTTCTGCTGTGTTTTCTGCTTCTGTTGAAATCCTCAAGGTTTAATTTGTTGGAAATAAAATAATGTCATAGATCCCCAGCTGGACAAACCAATGAGGTTTTAATGATGGTGGCTTGGGGAGGCTGCTGGGCTGACCTAGGAGAGGATGCTGGCTAGGCTGAAGTGATGCTGCATAAGCATGCAGTGATTTTCATCTGGTAGTGCTGGTGTTCTTGACCTCGTGTTGCAGTCGATGCTGTGACTGATGTGAGTCCTTCTTGTTTGATATGTCCCTGCGACAGTGTTTTTTTTTTTTTTGTTACCCTTTCTCAATTAACTCTGAACAACTTGTGGGAATGAATAGTGTTCATCCCTTTCGCCCTTGGGGCAAGGACAGGTTCAGCTGATGTATGTGTGATTGTTTAGCCACTGTATAGATCCAGAGTGGGTATGAGGTCACCGGTGGGAGAGGATTGGGCTTCATGAATTTGGGCACAGCTGAAGCTGCTAATTGCTGGGGAAATTACTGCAAGGTCTCCCAGCCAGTACATCTCTGTGTAGGTGCATAATTTAAACCAGGGGTGGCCAGACTTATCCGCAAAGGGCCGGTGTGTATGTGGGTTTTCGCTGCAACTCCCTAATTAGATTACTAATTAGAGGACTGATTGGCTAAAGAGTCCTCACACCTGGGTTTGAACAGCTGACCTACAGGTTATCCCAAAAACCTGCATACACACCGGCCCTTTGCGGATAAGATTGGCCACCCCTGATTTAAACCAACCTCTAGGTCTCCATTCAGCATCTTTAAAACATAAAAAAGTGCTTGAACCTTAGAACAGGGGTTTTTAATCTGGGGTCTTTGGAGTAGAAGGGACACAAACCACTCGGGTCAGAACAGAAAAAAAAACTTGAGGAACCCACAGTTCTTATTTACGTAGTGGCATATTAGTGGTAGGGGTTCCTTAAATGTGGTCCCTTTTCATTTGGGGGTCCTTGGTTTATGAAAATGAAAATTCCTACCATAGATTAATCATACTGTTTTGTCTAAAACCTTTCTGGATGCGTTCTAGCTCAGACCAGTCTCAGCAAGGCCCAACGACATTTCGCCTACTGCGATGTGAGCCCCGGGTATCATTATGCCTGTCGCCCTGTCATGTTTAAAAGCTCGCGTCTGGCCTGAAACACATCCGCTGGACCCTCTGAGGATTCTCAGGCTCCGTCCTGTCAAGAAGCCCGCCCCAGCGTCTGGCTTTCTCCCCCCCACTCAGGGGGTGTTGTCCAGTGCTGCTCTTCAGCCCGCTAAGATAAACGAGTGGCACGTCGCCGCGGTCACTGCAGGCCATTGTGTCTCTGCTCAAACAGGGAAACATTGAGATGCCTCTTTAATCAACAATCTCACAGCCCTGTTGGTTAAATGGTTCTCTTTCCATTTAACTGTGGGCCCGAGGACATTGGAGCAACACTTTTCTAAAGTTTATTTTCCCTTTTTCATTTGCATATTAAGCCTTGTATTTTAAAGCATCTGTTGTCCCTGTTATGGGCACTGATTCTGTTTTTAATTCTGATTTAGTGTGGTGTAGCCATGGTATCATATTCGGGGCTCATCAGCTAGCTGGCCAGCAGTTAGGAGTTTGGGAGTCCAGGTTTGCTGGGTTGGTAGTAGTGAACACTGAGAGCCATGAATGGAGCTCTCTGCAGTTACCACTTCCCAAATGATATGGGCTTATGTGTATGATGAAGGAAATGGTGTGATAGCAACTGTGGTGCTGCATCACATGGACAGCATTAATATGCTATGTTACATCTGTAATTTGTATAAACTGCTGCACATAGATCATTACTAGGTGGACATGCTGTTTATGTTAGTCAGTGTGTTCTGACTGACATGATTTTCATGTGACTGCTGTATTTTGTGCATGAAGTTTAGCAAACATATCATTAATTTCATGAATCGGCAAAGGAATCTAGTGATCCAGGGTGCTAGGTAGGTTCTGGAGGCTGGGAGCACAGTCCAGCAATTGGATCCTCCTGAACACCATGTACACCTTGTCCATTCAAAAATCTCTGAAGACATTCTTGTGGTGTCCAAACCTTCCTGGTGTTATGGTGGCACTTGTTCATTCCAGCTTTTCTTCTCAGAGGCTCCACTTTCCCTTTTCCAGAGCAAAAAGCCAAGTTATTCAGTGTCTGCCTAGAAAGCATGAATAGGAATTGTAAAGCCTTGATTTGCTTCAAGAATCATAATGAAACACAGTCAGCACTTTGAATCCAGATATCGTCTTGCTGAACGTTTCTTATAGGTACCTTAACAATGCTAGAAATCTTTACAGATAGGAAGTTGTTCTGTGGCCATTTGCATTACATTGTCTCATTAGTACAGGTGTTGCTGCTCTTCCAGGCAGGATCACCTGCCCATTTGCCCGCTGTTTCAGAGCTGGCATCTAAATGCTGCCTGAATATCAGTCAGCGACGCCCCTCCATCTGTGGCTGCTGAAAGCTCGTAATGCATCTGCTGTCTCTTTTCAAAGCCAACATCATTTTTTGGTGTTTTAAAATGAATACAGTTTCATATAATTGGTTTGGTTGTCTAAATAAATTATTTTCTTTTATCAAAGTTATTTCTATTTAACTGTTAATTACATTGTTGGGGAAAATGGTATAAATTTCCCCTATTGAAGTTGATGAATATATTAATTACTCATTCCCAATAATTATTTCAATAGCACAAAGTCATTTATAAATTAGGTTCACTGTTGTAGCCATGCAGTACCTACTAAACCCATTACTGCTGGATCAATTAATGCTGAAATTTGAATGTGTGTGTGTGTCTATACAGTTTTCTGGGAGAGGCAGCTCCTCTGTAGCCGTCTTATCGATCAAGCTTTGCACCAGAAAATAACTTCTCTACAGCTGAGTTAAAGCGTGTAAATTATGTAGAAGGAAAAAGCTGTATTGTCCGCCAGCGCAGAGCTGAAATTGACTGTTGGAAGGGCTCCCCCGCACATTCATACACATGTTTATCTTGCCCAGCTGGAGTGATTTCATTAAGCAATTACACACACATGCAGGCCAGATGCCTGGCAGGGAAGGTGATCAGCAGCGCAAGGCCCTAATAAAAGGACGCTATGCTAATCAGCTAGGAAATGAAATCATCTTTCTTGTAGCATGCTTGTGCATTTTTGTGCTGTTTCATAAATGCGTGTGTGTCACGAGTCTGCCTGCCAGATGGATAGCTGGCTGACCTGGGGCCAGCATCTCCCATAGCCATCCTCCCCACACAGTTATTGGCATAGGAATCACCCTGTTTTCGATCAATGGTGGCAGCAGGTGTGTTTGTTCTGGGTGGATTCTCGAGAGAAACTCTTTAGGCCCAACTCAGGCTGTTTTCAACTCCCTGACCAGTTACTAAGAGGTTGTTTGAGCAGCCGAACTTACTGTCCTGCTACCTACATCTGAACAACCTTTATGAAAGTGCATTTATGTTATTTGTATTATATGCTTAGACACAGTTGACATCCTTTCAGTCTAGTTTTACAACCATATACTGTATGTTAGTGAAATGTAAAACTTAATGTAAGTGAAATGTTTTGACTTCAGCAGCCTTTCCCCAAAAATATGAACCACAGAGATTTGCTTCGTAAACATCTACAGCGAAGAATGATGTACAACAGTTTTGAGAGACTTGGCTGTCAGACTAAGTGACCCCAAGTGATACCAACACAGTTTTCCATATGCTCTCGTCCTGGGTGGTGAACTGGTGGCCATTTTGTCTGGGTGGGAGCAATCATCCATGTGGAAATCGCATGTATTTGTCCTCCGAGATCCACCCCTCATCCATGTGGAAATCGCATGTATTTGTCCTCTGAGATCCACCCCTCATGCATGTGGAAATCGCATGTATTTGTCCTCTGAGATTACCACCCCCCCAGGGTTGGGGTGGGAGGGGGGTATTATTGACACAGCACACACTGTGATGGAGAATCGTTGATTTATTATAATACTGACTGGAGCAATGGTGAAATTGAACTCCCCCTTCCTCTCTTCTTCTCCTCAGCCCTGGTGAATGTCTGGACTGGGCAGCCTACTTCCCACTGGTATTGGGGTTGGGGGGTTGAGGGTGGCTCATGGTTTCATATCAGCACAGGGTAAACGATCTGCTGCTGGATGAAATGGTAGACTCTGCCCCCACACTGCCTTCTCGCGTGCCGCAGGGGGGCAGGACAGAGCCACAGTACAACTGGATGTTTAAATTACCTGGCCTTTTCATCGTCTGAAGTAGGTTAGTTTTTCCTGCTCTCCGGTGTGCGTGGCTATATCCCGTGGCAGTGTATCTTAAAATTGTGTTTCTTATCTGTTGCATTCATGTCTTAGGCCAGCTCTGTGTAGCTGTGAGCTGTTAGCTGCTCCCATCTGATATTCTAGTCTGTTCTTCATCATGGTTTTTTTTTTTTTTGAGGGCAGGCTTAAAAAAATACCTCTTCTCATTTAAAG